AAATGTATTATTCGTGAATAGAATCTATACCTTTATTCCTACTTGCTATGCATATGTAACAGAACGGTGGTCAGATATTGGAATATGGGCTACATTATTATACCCTTTTCTTACTTCACCTCTCAATAAGGAGTTTCGTAACTAATGGCTCTTAGCACGCATCAACTTACGTTTAGCCACACACGATAATTTTATTTAACGATTTGCAGAGATTTCTTTTTTCTTGGCACCACCCTTGTTAAGCCCATTTCAATTACCTTATAGCTAAAATGAGACTTTATCATGGAGTACATTCATGTTTGCTCAATAAGCGCTGGGTCGACCACATGAACCAGTTCTACTTTATCGCCTCGTATATTCTGCAATTTCTTCATTTTTAGTAATTACACATGACCTGAATGTGTGAATAAAATCTTGTCCGCCTATGCTTTACTCTGTAATCTTCCTATGTGTTTCCATATATGGCTTATTAAATTATCTTTAATTTGCTTTTGATATCATGGTCTTGGATCTCATTTGAATGTTTCTATTCCTTAATATTTTGATATATCTCTTCACTTCCCACTGATAAAATGCAGTGAAATTTCCCTCTATAACATTTATAGATAAATAACGCGTGATTACTTTCATTTATCCATTCTTAACTTCCATTCAAATACACTTAACTTCCTCTGGCTTGAGCTGTTTGTCCATTTTCAGGCTATATGTACCGGTCTTTGTTATCCATACTTCTTGGCATCTTGCCATTAAGGGAGATAGATATTCTATTGTCTGCCTAAGTCCTTTTCAGTCTAAATTTTATTTTATAGATGATACCATTTAGTTACGATGCGGTTAAATGTTATATATAATATTACCATGTATTTAGTGGGGCGATGAACTTTTTTATTACCAGTTAGTCTTATGAGTTATAATTTAGATGGGCATATTTTAGGCTAGTTAAAAAGTATGCTCTGCGAGACAAGCGTAGACCTTTGGCCACTGTTCATGCTTATGGTTAATGCAAATTCACCTATTCTAACTATTAATGCTTTTAAAATGTTTCGTATCACTCTTTCGCAACGACTTCTAGCTTTCTGGGCAAATACAAAGGATGTGCTCATTACCTCGTTCTCTGCTATTGTTGTCATATGTTCTTGCAACGTCGCACTATTGATAATGTACATCTATAGGCATTTCGCAGGCTTTAATATGCAGTACCACCCTTTGCACCAAATTATGACTCAGCTAATGGAGGAACTAGTACTTTTTCCCAAGTCTTCCTCCAAATATGACTAAATCACGAAGACAAGATCAAACTTATTTTACCATGCGACAGATAACAGCCACCAAAGCGAATGCCACATTATCTTGATCTTCCTTTTAACTTAATTTTACTTCGAACCAGATAGTGTCTATATAAGTCGGCTTTTCTTTTCGGTAATCTCACAAATCTATGGTTTGCTGCTATGACATCGAAGACCAATTATCTTACCCATTCAGTACTTCTGCTGTGATCGCTCTCCTCTGCTTCTTTAGTTACGAATAACTAACGATAATCGTTCAAGTTATATATTAATATTTTAAATTTTTTTATTCATGAATATTTTTGGTATACTTCTCAAAATGTACTGGCTTTTAATATTATATAATTTCAGATACTCCAACAGAAGCGAAATGTCGGTTTTAGGCAATATCGAAAACCTCCAGACCCTCACTTCTTGCTTCCATTCGACCCTGATATCAACTGGTTTAGAGGAGCTTCTCTTTATGTGTGGTATCTTGAGACAGATCGCATTCACCAATTCTTATTCGCTCCTAATCCACTAGACTTTGGTGAACCCGGAAATTGCCAGCTTGAAAAACCTAAAATCTCTGAAAATGGCGAGTCATCTAAGCAAAATACAAGTAAGTTTCTCATTTTTCCATTATTTAATTTAGGTATTTCTTATCCGATTGTGCAGATCACGCAAACACACACACACATATATATATATATATAGATTCATTATCTCAATGAGTGTGATTAAGTAGCATTTACTAAGATTTTTGATAATTATCTTCTTCTCAAGGCAAAATTGTGACCGTGAAAATTTCTGCTGCCCACACACTTGGATAGGTCCAATATATATTTGAATGCAGCGATGCTAGCTATATCCAATTTCTTATATAATTTTAATATTTTCTCGAGGTCCACCTGAAATTGAATACAATGTGACTGCTGCTAATGCTTTGGAGCTTTAGATAAACCGCATTCTCGTCATATACCGAGTCGTTTACACACTCAATATGCTTATCACAGAGGAGGCTTTTTTCTTTGTGTGGAATTTTATAATGTGAATATCTCTTATCTACTCCCTAATTTCAGTTTTTATGACAAGCTGTTCTGGAGGCCCAGAAATATACACATAATCGCATTGGCTGTCCTATAATGCTGTTTATTCTTCTTAAACGTTGATTAGTGAAGAACCCCATTTTGATTTTTTTTGTTAGGCTTTTGTTCGTCACATGGACAGGAAACATGGTTACTTATCTAGATCTGCATGTTTTTTCCTCGTTAAAGCAACTTCGACTACGGGACCAAATTCTCATGCTCTATCTACCAGGTCTGTCGGCCCCTATCCTCACGGCCCAGTATACGCTCCTTGTCATCATTATTGGGACTGTATCGACGGTCGACTACTGGTGATCGAATCCGAGCCCTTGCTAACCTGGCAATCAAATGTAGTACCTTTGGAGGCAGGCAACATGGGCGGCAGATTCTGTGTCGGAGACGGTGACGGCACAGTTCCTGAAACAACAGTATCGACAGATTTAATCGGCCAAACCAAATGCAGAGCTGAGGGTTCCTTACCGGGCCCTAGCCTTGAAGCCAGCTGGTTGAAGCTAGAGGAAGCGGAATTTGAGGTCTCGAGTGAAAAGGTGCACTTGTTTGGCAAGGAGAGGAACACGCCGAGTCCCATCTACAAGTCGCCACAGCAAAGGGTCGGTTCTGAATAGCATTCGGCTTCTCTTTTTAGCACAGCTAGTAGAATGTGGGCATAAACAAGAAACAAAAATAGTTGGCAGAAAGGACAAATTGTTAATTGAAAGTTAAAGCGAGTATATAATACGCTAAAATTGACAGATTTATTGTTGGTTGATTTGAGCATATGGATAATTAAAAGACAGATCGTTCTGATATATGCATCATAGCTGATAGCCAGAATGTTCAACTTAACTTATTTTTAAAATTCGTTATATACCGAGCTCTTATTTTTTCTAATCATGCTAGAAGGGATAAGTCTTTATACATGCGATGAAAAGTTGGGTTTCGAGCTTTCATAATTGTTGAGCTTACTTCCAACTCGGGTAAAAGTGTTGTGGGAAAAGATTAAAAGGTCGGTTCCACAAGAAGACGACGGCGGATTCCTCTTGACCAGCTGTAGATTGGCTTTACTGGAAGATTCACGGTGACGCTGTTTCCGATGTAATCTCCTTCAATTCCGGTGAAAAAGGGCTAAGCTTTCGTTCGTCATATGACGGAATCGAAGGAGATTACCTCGGAAACAGCATCACCGTGAATGTTCCAGTAAAGCTAATCGACAGCTAGTTAAGAGGAATTAGCCGTCGTCTTTTGGTGGAACCGACCTTCGAATATCTTCACTCAACACTTTCATTCGAAATGGAAGTAAGATCAACAATAAGTCATGATGTTTTCGATATCGCCCAAACTACATATGAAACGCAAGCTGGTGCTATACTTATTATATTGATTCTGGCATAGCTTTCTTTCGTTAGAAGTGTTGAGTGGAAGAGGTTCGTTAATTGGTCCTACTTGAAGACGCAGGAGTATTACCCTTAAAGTATGATTGTAGCTCTGTGCAAAGAAGTCCTTGGTGCATCGTTCCGGTCTGAGCTCTTTTATCTCATATTACAGACATCTTCAGAGTATAGACCTTCACTTATGAAAGAGATCACTGTTTCGCTAAACCAAGTTCGTAGTAAGTTTGGGACTTATTCTCACTACTCAATGGTAAACCTTCTTTGGTTTCCAATAAAGCCCATTTAAGAATCTCTTCCACTCAGCTTCCCCTTTGATATTAAATGTCGAGTCACATTTTATTTTTAAGGAATTAAAAAAAATCTACTTTTCTTCCCATAGACTTAGAATAGCGCATCGTGTACTGCCTCCCTTCTCAATACTGTCCTATCTATTGCTCGCAGTGGAGCAATGACTTGGTAAACTCTCAGATACTTTATCGAAGTTCGAGAACTTATATTTACGAATGTTCCACAACATAGAAGGGTAGAAATGCCGTGACATATCAGCAGAAAATTTGCCAAAAGGATTGACTACTTATCACCTAATTAGCGGTAATTTGATGAGCAGGATAGAGCTGTTCACTGTTGAAGTCACTTAGGGTACAAAGTAAAGGTCTGAGAATATATCCGGTTATAGGTCAAGTTCGGGAAAAATATTACAATTTTTGTCTGGAAATAAAACAAAGATGTAGAAACAGGTCTAGTCATTCATTACCTGACGGTACACACCTAGTATCACTAAACTTAAAAGCAGTATTCAAGATTAGCTTAATCTCTTTCATTCCACATTTTTCTGAGAAGTAATCAGTCATTATTTTCATCATCATCATTTAAAATCATTATTGATACTCAGGTCTTAATAAATTTGATCAAAATCCCACTAAGGATTTCTAGCATATCTTTGAATTTGTCTATAATGAAGCTCTTAGTCAGAATGCACATAAACATCCAATGAACGCTTCACATTGATTGTTAATTTCATCGGCTATAATTAAAATATCCTATTTTGTAACACTTACTAGTATTTGGCTCCTACTCCTTTTATTCCTCATGCTAAGAGTTAACGCTTGTTTTTTAGGATTTATTGCCCATTGTCTCCTATCTTCACCGCTTCCATCCGTATCCGGACCGGCCAGGAAAATTAGGCATGATCATAATAAGTATTCCATCATTTGAATTTGTGTGTAAGCCAGATCGGAATAAGGGGCATTGATGTACGCGCTATTTCAAGCTCATGTAAATAAAATTTACTCCTTTCTCAAGTTTAACTTTTATCCTAAATGAATTTCCTCATTTAGATGTATGCATAGAAATTACTCGGCATTTTGCTTAATCTATCCAGCATTACATTCTATTAGAGAGCATACACAATTGCAAAATGGCTTGTTTGATTCCAGAAATGCTATCATCGCTTAGTTCATGTAAGCTCCAGCAAATTTGCTTGACAAGATGTATTTGTTCTTAATTCTTGCTCAACTTACTTTCCCATTCCATCTTTTTTTTAGAATTTAATCGTCTCGCTATTCGCCAACGAGCAGAAGAATAACCTCACGATGGTCGAAAAGTTTTTCATACCGGTCAACCATACCTTTTTGGTGGGTGTTGAAGTCCCACATTTTTTCTTCACAAACGTAAGTTCTTACAGAACAGGTTGTTAGTGTGTGTATTTTATGATATCGTAGTAGCTACAATCTATCTCTGGATACATTAAGTCGATAATTAGACGAATATTTACTTTTACTGGCGATTATTATATGATATTTAATCTCAGTCTTTTGCTAAAATTGGGCCTATTTCTTAAACATTATATAAATTGCGTGCTTTTATTAATTCACAGTTTGACATTGTTTAAATAATTTTTGAAGTTGCTTTGAGAGGGATCATGGTCGCATCTGCGATTGAGAAATCCTGGCTTTAGAGCTGTAGCATTGTGAGACATCAAGAATAGTTGTACCCTCCATTTATGTATACATTCATATACTGCATTAAAGCTTACTAGTTTAGTTAGGGTATATGTTGTTGCTAAATTTATAAGCAGCTTCATGGGATATACGACAAAAAAGAAATGGACGATCTAGTGGCATCTTTGCTGATGGATATTGATAGACTGATGGCTTCTATTTTTAGCTTATGAGCAAATTTTCGAGACTATCAGTAGATTACATATATGAGCTCTAATCATTCTATTTCGTTAAGGTGGTAAAGGATTGGTAATTGAATTTTTCCACATTTATATAAGAAGGCCTTACGTTTTCACTTAATTTTACATAAGAGGAGTAATTGGGTTTATAAAAATCTCTTGAGCTAACATTGTTGTGAAGGCTTAATGAAATGCATAAAAAAGGTTGATCTGACCAAGAAA